AAAGAGTAACAGAAAAGAGCAGTTTCTGACATGGGATATGTAACATCCTGGCTGCATTGGCTAAAGCTATGGCTTCTTGTCATTCAGACATACAGTAGGTCAGTTATATATTTATACCATACATGAGATTGGACAGTATATCAAGTGAAGTATCATTTATGAGGCCAGACTTTTCTTACTACAACATGGCAGATGAATGTGAGTGTGTTGCAGGAGAAAGTTTTGTTGTTACATTATTGTTGTTTAGGCATTCTCCATAACAATATTGTTTTTATGAGCTGAGCAACTTAAACAGATGCACAAGAGACATGTAGGCACCTAGACTGTTGGCCCACTGTACGTAACAATATACTGCATCAGTACGTACATCTTGTGCCTGCCTATTCATTAGCAGGACTGCACGCAGTTCAGACTTGTGCCGTGTTGGAAGTGACGTGGGAATGTCACTTCGGCAGACATAGAAAGATTGCCATCGCTATGGAAAAGTGACCCAGGTGCGCATTCAGACAGGAAGCCAATCCCTGTAATTTTAGAAATGTAGAACAATTGTCAGATATAGATTTCTGAATTTCACCATCAGAGGAGATTCAAGGATTCTTAGTACCAAATAGTCTGCATTAAATACAAAAGTCAAAGTGCTGTGTTGGTGTGAACTTGACGAAATACAATGCAGGAATTCAGTTTTTAGTTACAGAGACAAAACACTGCACAGCCCTCTTGGTGACACAAAAGGAAAGATTTTGCAACACCGTGATATCATTTTATTTTTTTGTTGCAACAATTTGCAGAAATACACCACTTGCATTAAAAAGTAATCCACCAGGAATGTGCGCTTGTATATATTTGATTGGCTAAAACTTCACCTTGCCAGACATCACATTTCGTTGCAGCAAAAGTTGACTTTTCAGCTTTTTTGCCGATACGCTCATTTGTTTCCTGGAGCTCTCTCAACCGCACACCCGCTACTTATTGGAATGAGTTAGAAAATAAAATGACTTTTTTTTTCATGAACTGGATTTTGAGTACATATTGCACTCATAGAGAAAAAGTGACAACATTGCCTGTGCATTTTACGGTACAGTTTACTTCATTTTGCAAA